TTTCTGAGGGCTTCTTTAATTTCTTTCTTTAAAGATTCAAAGTTCTTGCAATACAGGTCTTTCACTTGTTTGGTTAGCATTACCCCAAGGTATTTTATGTTGTTTGTGCCAATTGTAAAGGGTGATGTTTCTCTGATTTCTTTCTCAGCCCTTTTATCATCTGTATATAGTAGGGCTACTGATTTTCTTGAGTTTATCTTGTAGCCTGCCACTTTACTGAAGGTGTTAATCAGCTGTAAGAGTTCCCTGGTAGAGCTCTTTGGGTCATTGATGTAAACTATCTTATCATCTGCAAACAGTGAAAGTTTGACCTTCCCAATTTGTATCCCCTTGGTCCCCCTTTGTTGTCGTATGGCAATTCCTAGAACTTCAAGTACCATGTTGAAAAGGTATGGAGAGAGTGGACAGCCTTGTATTATTCCTGATTTTAGAGGAATTGCATTGAGTTTCTGTCTATTTAGTTTGATGTTGGCTTTTGGTTTACTGTATATAGCTTTTATTATGTTTAAGTATGTCCCTGTTATCCCAGATCTCTCCAAGACCTTTATCATGAAGGGGTGTTGGATTTTGTCAAAGGCTTTTTCAGCATCTAGTGAGATGACCATGTGATTTTTGTTTTTCAGCTTGTTTATATGGTGGATTATGTTGATGGATTTTCATATGTTGAACCATCCCTGCATCCCCGGGATGAATCCTACTTGATCGTGGTGAATGATTGTTTTGATGTGTTCTTGGATCTGATTTTCCAGTATTTTATTGAGTATTTTTGCATCAATGTTCATGAGGGATATTGGTCTGAAGTTCTCTTTCTTAGTTGTGTCTTATATTCTGTTGGTAATGCTTGTATTGGTAGTACCTGATCATTTGTCCTGCTTTTGTATTTCCAGGCTTTCTTCAGATTGTGTTTTTTTTTATTGTCTCTATTTCAGTTTTTAACCCTTCTACTGTTTGAATTGTTTCTTGCAATTTTCGGTTTATCTTTCCTCCATTTGTTGCATTTTATGAATGTTTTGGTTTGCTCTTTCTTCCATTTCTTGCATTTTTTGGTTTGCTTTTTCTTCCATTTCTTGTATTTTTTGTTTTTTCTTCCATTTCTTGCAATATTTGCTTTGTTTTTTCTTCCATTTCTTGCATTGTTTGTTTGTTTGTTTGTTTTTGTCCATTTCTTTGAGGGATTTTCCTATATCCTCTTTTAGAGCCTCTATCATTTACATGCAGTTTTTTTTTTTACGGTCATTCTCTTCTGCATCATTTGCATTGGAATGTTGGAGTCTTGCTGGTGTGGAGTCTTGAGAATCTGGTGGTGTCATATTTGTTTTTCTGTTGCTGAATATGTTTTTGTATTGTCTCTTTCCCATCTCTTCTTCTAGTGGGTGCAGAAAGAGCCCCTTACTGGTCTGGTGGTTAGGGAACCAGAGTTCCCTTTCGGTGGGTGCTAGCAAGTCCAATACTCTGGTAGTTCTTCTATTCCTAGTCCTAGTTCTGGTCCCGTGGGTGGAGAAGAAGACCAGGAATCTTGGGTGCTTAGCTTCCCACCTGGTCTCCTGGTCCCTGGATCTGCTGGTTTTCTGATCTCATTAGTGGAAGCGAAGACCTGGAATCTGGGCTGCTCCGCTCCTGCCAGGATGGGAAGCTCTGTGCAGTTCCCAGGCGATCCCCAGGCATTGGAATCAATTTCTCATTTTTATGTAGTTTGCTATATTGGCTTCAGGCAGCTTTCTGTTTCCCAAAGAAATGAATCTCAACAGATGCAATAGAAATGTCACCCCAGTCCTTCCCCACCTACCAACCTCAAATGCAGCTGTTGCCTGAATCCACCAGTGTCATCCCACATCCTCTGTATGCTGTCACTCAGCAGTTCTGGTATTGCACAGTTTAATCTGTAGATATTCTATGTCAATATCCTCTTGGAGTTTGCTCCCCCTCAACACACACTGTTGTAATATTTGTGCTTCACGTTTACATGAGTGATGACCTGGTTTAACAAAGTAAGCCCCCAAATAGGAAGAGAACACTAAAGAGATAATTAATGACTTACAAGCCTGATCTGTTCTGGGCTCTGTGCTGCTCTGGAGCAGTGCTGGCAGCACCATGGAAGAGAAAGACACAGAATGGCCCCTGCAGCATCCCTGCCCTCTGCAGCATCCCTACCCTCTGCAGCATCCATACCCATCTACAGCATCCCCACCCTCTGCAGCATCCATACCCTCTGCAGCATCCCCACCCTCTGCAGCATCCATACCCTCTGCAGCATCCCTACCCTGCTCTCACACTGTGCTCTAACCCCTGCTTCCTCTCTTCTCCTCCTGTAACTCCCATAACACATGGCTCTTTAGTTATGCCATGGGTCCCTGAGAATCTTTTTCTTTCTAGATCATCTCTCTTTTGTTCATACCATACCAATCCAGTTGACCTGACCTCAAGTTCACAAGCTCTGCCTTCTGTATAGTTTAACGACTACTTAGAGTTACCCTAACTCTACTTGGAGTACTGTAAACATCATTCCTATAATTTACTTTTAGCTATTTCTTGTACTTTCTCTACCTTAGCTAAGTTCTCCCTTTTCTGTCTGCTTCTGATGTTGCTGTAGTAGCTGCTTTAGTTTTGTCCAAATGATTGTCCAACTGTCTGTTGATTGTCCTTTAAAATTCCATTTGGGGCCGGGCGGTGGTGGCGCACGCCTTTAATCCCAGCACTTGGGAGGCAGAGGCAGGCGGATCTCTGTGAGTTCGAGGCTGGGCTGGACCGATAGCCTCCAAAACAATACAGAGAAACCCTGTCTCGTAAAAACAAAAAAAAAATTGCATTTGGGACTTTTCCAGTTCTTGGTATGACATTTTCTATTGGATCTTGGACATTAAAAATATTGAGACGCTATATCCTGATTTCAAGCAGTTGACTTTCACTCAAGTGTAGCACAGTATTAGCAAAAATGGATCGTAGTGCCTGTAACTCACAGAAGCCAGTGAGAAAAGACAGAAATTGAATCTTTTTTGTTTGTTTGTTTTTCAAGACAGGGTTTTTCTGGGTGTAGCTCTAGCTGTCCTAGAACTTACTCTGTAGACCAGGCTGACTTCACAAAGATCTACCCACCTCTGCCTCCCAAGTGCTGGGATTAAAGGTGCATACCACCGCCCAGCCCAGAAACTAAATTTTAAAACTTCACTTTAATCAGACAATCTGAGAGAGAGAGAGAGAGAGAGAGAGAGAGAATTAATAGTCTAAAGGTCTGTATTCCATTACATCTTTACCCCACAGATTATGTAGTTGGGAGGGACAAAGGCTGTCAGTCATTTGGAGCTCTGTCTTGCCATTCTGGTTAAGGTGGTTGATTATTTTATGTCCCTCATTTTTTGGATGCCTGGGATTAAGTAAATAATGGGTATAGTTAGTTGCTACTGATATCAATCTTGTACTCCTCTAGGAACATTTGGCCTAGGACAGAGTTACCTCAGAACCACAGACCATAAACAGTGTGTATGTATGAGCTTAGCTAGTGACGCATTAGTGCTGATTTCCTTTTGCAATATTGGGTACAGAATATGAGAATATGAGAATGATCCTATTGGTCATTCCTGTCCTCTATTAGAAGGAATAGGGTAGTATGTGTGTTCTGCCACCCTCCATGTCAGAAGCCCCTCCCTGCCCCACCAGCCTACAGCACTATGTGCACACCATCCTGTGGTAGACAGGTGACATAAGAATTCAAGTCTCCCATGAGTGCAGTGCCAGAGAGGAGGCCACAGAAACACTGGGGCCTTGGGTAGTAGATCAGTGTTCACCATGGTTTATAAAAGAGCTTTGGGAGCCCATTCCAAATAGAGGGATGCTGTCTCAGCCTGGACACATGGGGAAGGGCCTAGGTTCTGCCTAGGATGAAATGACAGACTGTAGATATCACCCCAAGGAGAGTCTCACCCTCCCTGGGGAATGATGTGGGGATTGGGTGGGGGGGCCGGGGGACTGGTGGAGGGACAAGGGAGGAGGGGTGGGAGAGGCAGCTGGGACTGACATGTGAAACATTCACATTTCTAATTTAAATAAAAACATATATTGAAAAAAAAGAATTCAAGTCTCTTGGTTTCTCTTGTCACTGAGCACAGTGTCAGCTAGTACTGCCTCTCCTCCCCTCGTTGTGCCCCAAGTCATCCTCCCTATAGCTCCCAGGAGAGCATTGCCTGCTGCTGACCAGTGGAAGGTTAGGCTCTGCTTGGCCCCACGGACCAACCAGGTGGGGCAAAAGGGACACTGCTGTTTGCTTCCTTAGAATGATGGTGGGGTGAAAGGTCTCAGGGCAAGTTTTGCAAAGGTGTTTTTATCTGGGGGGGTGTTTTGTTTTTTGTCACTAATCTACACTTTCTTGGGTTAGGGAGGATGAGTTTATTATCTTGGAGGTTTGCTGTTGATGTTTTATCTGTGACTACTTGTGGTTCAGCAGAAGGCTTCTATAACCCCTGTGTGGCATTTATGGAACATACATGTGTGTGTGTGAGAGAGAGGGGGGAGGGAGAGAGGAGAGAGACAGAGAGGGAGAGGGAGAGAGAGAGAAGGAGAGGGAGAGGGAGAGGGAGAGGGAGAGGGGGAGGGAGAGGGGGAGAGACAGAGAGGGAGAGAGAGAGAAGGAGAGAGAGAGGGAGAGGGGGAGGGAGAGGGGGAGAGACAGAGACAGAGAGAGAGACAGAGAGGGAAAGAGAGAGAGGGAGAGGGAGAGAGAGAAAGAGAGAGAGGGAGAGAAAGAGGGAGAGAGAGGGAGAGGGGAGTGAGGGAGAGAGAGAGCAGGGGAGATAAGGAAAGCATTCCCTGGACTGCATAAAAAAGGACAAAAATTGAACACTTTACTAAGATGCCAGCTTTGGTTTCTTTAAATGCTTTGGGTTTTCACCTTTAACTTTGTCTTCTGGGGGTAGTTTAGAGTTCAAGAAAATGATTGCTTTGGAAAATTCAGGGTAGTGTTGTGTTCATTACTTGCTTCAGTGTGACAGCAGAGAGCTTTTACTTACATGACTCAAGTACCTTTTCTTGCAGATAAGACTGATTTTTCAGACACAGAATTTTACAAAGGATTTGCACAATATGGATTTAATGTTGTTATGAGTAGAAGACTGGCCATCCAAAGAGAGGTGCCAGATTCCAGGGATAAAATGTATGTTGTAACTAGACTTTAATTGTAGCAATTAGAAATCTTGTAGTATAAATTCCTGTTTGGGGGGCTTTAAGTCAGACAATGTCAATATTCTAATGTTTATGGTGTGGAAAGCACCTTCCCCCCCTGGCAGAATATGTTCTAGAGGTTTTTGAAGAATAAATAAATCCCTCGAGGGTTTTACTCAGGCGCCAGTGAGGGCTTCTGGCCAAAGCATTAATTCCCAATAGAAATGCTCTGGATATCTACCTATCTTTTTCTTCATATTCTGACTCATTTTCATCAAGCCTTCAATTATCTGCGTTTATGTTAATTATGGTAAAATGCATATAGAATTGCTATGTTAAAAATTTTCTAGTAGACCATTCAGCAACATTAAGCATAGCCACAGTGGTAAGTAGCCATAGCACAGCCTGAACTGAAAATTTGCACCCCTCCTTTAAGTAGATTTCCCCCAATCTACTTAAACCATCTATGAATTTGACCACCCCAGAGACCTCAAAACAGTAAAAGCATACAGAACTTGTTTTTTTTGAGAACTAACTTATTTCATTTAGCACAATGTTCTTGAGGTTCATCTGTTCAGTATCATGTTTGTTGATGCCTTTTAAGTATCATTTAGTTAAAAGAAAAAAATTACAAGCTAAGGAAAGCATACACTGTCTAGTAATGCCACAGTTCAGGAATTGGAACCATATTGCTGTATTGTATGATGTGTGTGCAACACGAGCATTTGAAGCCATGAACACCATTCATGAGTGGGCACCCTCAAGAGAGGGAGTGTTGCACATAATGCCACAGTGTAACTGACTCATACTAAAGGAAACCAAATGGGCTGTGGGTGTAGCTCAGTTGGAGTGTTTGCCTGACACAAGCAAGGCCCAGGGTTTGCTCCCAGCACCACAGAAACCAAGAATGGTAGTGAATACCTGTAACCTCAGTGTTGAGAGGTGGAGGCAAGAGATCAGAAGTTTGAGGCTATGTTCAGCTACATGTCTCCCTTCCCTCATACAAAATAAAAAGAAAGGGAGTTCATTTAATTTCCCTTAAACAATAGACATGGTATTAATTTAATTTGAAAGACAATCTTTAAATCAAGTTAAGACTTAGATACCGCTAAGATCAATATTTTAATTCCAGCCTGGTGTTGGTGGTGCCTGCCTTTAATCTCAGCACTCAGGAGGCAGCCAGGTCTACAGAGTGAGCTCCAGGACAGCCTCCAAAACAATATAGAGAAACCCTGTCCTGAAAAACCAAAAAAAAAAAATTTAATTGTGAAGTTCTCTCCATGCTATTATTTTCCCCCAAATCTTACCTAAAAGAGTGTATCTGCCTTGGTTCCTTTCGTCCATCACATAATTATTTGTTAGGAAAAACAAAGTTGAAATATGGTTGCTTAAACAAGACCTGAACAATGACAATACCAGGGGCATGTCAACATGGATGGGGAAATCAAAACTAAACCTATCCCTAAATAAGAGCTAGAGGGAACTAACAACTACAGAGAGAGGGTGAATTAGTCTTCCCCAGAGATATGCACCCCAAATGGTTTATCCAACCCCCAAGTGTTCAGTCATATACATGGTCACATATATATATATATGTAAATATGTATATGTGTGCTTATATGTAAATACACATGCTAACATGCTAAGTAGGTTCATCATATACATATGACTGACCACATGGGGTTGGATAACCATTTGGGGTGTTTATCTCTGGGGAAGACTAATTCTCCCTCCTGTGTTATTTTCACTCCATCTCCTCTAGGTCTGTCTATATTGTGGTGAATAACTGAAGATCCTATCTTAAAAATGTGTATTTATTTATTATGTGTGTGCAGGTATGCATATGCACATAACACAAGTTAGTGTGGAGGTCAGAGATTCTCTTCTTTTACTATGTGGAGCCCAGGAATCAATTCAGATCATGTCCCTTTAATCAATGAACCATCTCACCAGGCCCTGATTTTTTAAGGTTAAATAGCATTCCATTTTGTGCATATACTTTATTCATTCATCCACTGATGGGCACTTTGGTTGATTTCATATCCTCACTACTAGGAATAATACTTCAACAGTATGAGAGGAAGACATCTCTTATGTAGGATGGGCTTACACCTGCGTGTATATCTAAGTGCAGAGTTGTTGGGTTACATCCTCCTCCAGGGCTGTGCTAGGCTTCCTCCACATTCTCATTATTTTGATGACCATTTTAACACATGTGAGTTGGGATCTCATCAATCTCACCAGAGTGTTAATTTGCATTTCCCTGATGATTAGTGGCATTGGATATTTTATTGACTATTTTTTCATAGACCTATTGACTGCTTGTTTTCTTTTGAAAAATGGTCTATTAGTCAGTGTTGCTTTTTTTTTTTTAAGAGATAGGGTCTTGTGAATTCCTGACTTGCCCTGAACTCAGAAGTTTTCTAACTTCTGATTCTCCCACCCCCAGTTCTCACGTATGCATCCATGTCTACCCTGCAGGCACACGCACTGAAAGTCCTATGGGCTCATCTGCCCAGCTCCTTCTGCCCTGGAATTGTCCAGAAAACAGTTCTCCCTTCACATGATTGCAGGGGGAATGCTGGTTTATTCTCTTGACCTCACTTGCCTGGCCCTAGTTAGTTACTTCAGAGTGGCCACTGAGCCAATATGAATCAGTGAACTTTTGGTGATGGGAAAAAGAAAGTGCTTCTGAATTATCATTGAACGCTGGTGTGATTTTTATACACCTTTAATCTTAGCACTCAGGAAGCAGTGGCAGGCCGATCTCTGCAAGTTCAAGGGCAGCCTGATCAACATAGAAAGTTCCAGGCCAGCCAAGGCTACACAGTTAGATATGTCTAAAAAACAGAAACCCCAAAGACAGGCTGATATCCAGCATATTTCCCACTCAGTGGCATTAAGTTAGCAGAAACAAGCCAGGTCACAGGTGACAGGCTGAGCCTTGTGTAGAAGTTACTATCCGCCAGGCACTGCTCTGATCTGAGTTCACTACCTGTGAACTCACTAAATCTTAACCTTTGAGGTAGGCTGGATATGTTGTTAGTTATCACCTCAATCACTATTGCTAGAGTGATGGAGAACATTCCAGATGGCCCTCAGCCTTCTGGTCCCATTATTTCCTTGAGAGTCCAGCTGTCTTCCTATAAATACGTCTTGGGAGGTCCTTGGGTCACCTTACAATATACTCCCTTCTACTTTGCTGAGGTTAGTTTCAAACAATAAAATACTAGATCTCATCTTTATTTTTTCACTTGTGTGAACACAAAAATAATATGACCATTTTCCAGTACTTGGAGGACGTGTAGTTCACCAATTGCACTACAATGCTTGGCCACAGTGGGTGTCACAAATATAATAATAAAACTCCCAAAGCAAAGAACGCAGTACTGTGAATTTACTTTGAAGTTATCTTTCCATAAATTTAGACCACCACTTTTAGAAAAGACACCAATATATGGATATAATCTGTTTTATATTATCTTTAAGGTAGACCTAAGATTATCAAAATGGAATGTCAAGAAAGAGCAATTACAGGGACTGGAGAGATGGCTCAGAGGTTAAGAGCACTGGCTGCTCTTCCAGAGGTCCTGAGTTCAATTCCCAGATCTGTAATGAGATCTTGTAGCCTGCAGGGATACATGCAGGGGGATACATGCAGGAGGGAGGATGTATACATAATAAATAAATATACTTTTTTTAAAAGAAGCAATTATAAAGGGGAAATAATTTCCATGAGTTTGTAGGTTTTCTGCAATTTGTGTTGTTGTTGAATTCTAATTTTAACGCATGGTGGTCTGATAAGATGCATGGAGTTATTCCAATTTTTTTTGTAGCTGCTGAGGTTTGATATGTTGCCAAGTATGTGGTCGATTTTTGAGAAGGTTCCATGTGGTGGTGAGAAGAAGGTATATTCTTTTTTATGTGGATGAAATGTTCTATAGATGTCTGTTAATCCCAGTTGGGTCATTACTTCTATTAGATCCTTTGCTTCTTTGTTGAGTTTCTGTCTGGTATTCCTGTCTAGTGGTGAGAGTGGTGTGTTGAAATCTCCAACTATAACTGTGTGGGGCTTTAGATGTGATTTAAATTCTAATAATGTTTCTTTTACAAATGTGGATGCCTTTGTATTTGGGGCATAGATGTTCAGGATAGACACTTCATCTTGGTGGATTTCACCTGTGATGAGTATGTAATGACCTCCTTCATCTCTTTTGATTGATTTTATTTTAAAGTCTAGTTTGTTAGATATTAGGATTGCTAGCTACCCCTGCTTGTTTCTTGGGTCCATTTGATTGAAAAAAATTTTTCCAACCTTTAACTCTCAGGTAATGTCTGTCTTTGAGGGTGAGGTGTGTGTCTTGTATGCAGCAGAAGGAAGGGTTCTGTCTTCGAATCCATTCTGCTAGCCTGTGTCTTTTTATGGGTGAGTTAAGGCCATTAATGTTGAGGGATATTAATGACCATTGATTGCTCATCCTTCTTCGATTTGCAATGGTTGTTGTTGGTGGAATTATGTGTGGAATTTCACCCCTCTTTTGGCTGTTGGTAGAGAGGGAACCTAGATGTCCCTCAACCGAAGAGTGGATAGAGAAAATGTGGTGCATTTACACAATGGAGTACTATTCAGCAGAAAAAAACAATGGGATCCTGAGATTTGCAGGCAAATGGATGACACTAGAAGAAACCATCCTGAGTGAGGTAACCCAGTCACAAAAAGAGAAACATGGCATGTACTCTCTCATATATGGATTTTAGACATAGATCTGGGGAGTGCCAGCCTACAATCCCATGGCCAGAGAGTCTGGGAAACAGAAACTTCATTCAGTGGCTGATGGAAGAAGAGGCAGACTCCCTCGGTTAAGTACTGAGCTGAACTCAAGAAAGCCAGTGACAGAGAGGGAGGACTGATGACCAAAGGGATTAAGACTGGGCTGGTTTAACCCCCAGAAACAGCTGACCTGACAAAGGTTAACTCTTGAATCCCAAGCATCAGCCTGGGAATCCAGCATGAAACTGATCAAGACCCCCTGAATGTGGGTGTCAGTGAGGAGGCCTAGGTAATCTATTGAGCCTTGGGCAGTAGATCAGTACCCATCCCAAGTATACACGCAGACTTTGGACTCCCATGCAACAATGTGAGGTGCACTCTCACCCTGAACTCTTGGGGGAGGGTCTAGGCCCTGCCCTGTATGAAATGACAGACTATGGACACCCCCATGGAGGGCCTCACCCTCCCTGGGGAAATGAGCGGATAATGGGGGGGTTGGGGGGAGAGCACGGGAGGAGGGGAGGGAGAGGGAGAGAGACCTGGACCTGACTTGTGAAGCAACCTTGTTTCTTATCTAAATTTAAACTGAAAAATAAATTAAAAAGAAGAAGGAGGAGGAGGAGGAGGAGGAGGAGGAGGAGGAGGAGGAGGAGGAGGAGGAAGAAGAAGAAGAAGAAGAAGAAGAAGAAGAAGAAGAAGAAGAAGAAGAAGAAGAAGAAGAAGAAGAAGGGGGAAATAATTCCAAAGTGTGAAAAGAGTGTAAGAATTTAAAATGGGGCCAGCAAGGTGGCCTCTCACGCTGAGGTGGATCCCCACGTGGTGGAAGAAGGAAACGTGCTCCTGGAAGTTACGTCATCACCTCAAGTGCCCACCATGGCATGCACACAGATCCCCTTAGCCCCACACAAAACAAAATAAATAAGGTTAAAAATAAAGAATGTAAGAACAGACTGGAGAGTTGGTCTGGTAGTTAAAAGAGGACCAGTTTGGTTCCCGGCACCCATGTCAGGCAGCTCACCACTGCCTCTAACTCCAGTTCTGGGGTATCTAATGCCCTCCTCTGGCCTCCACAGGCACTTGTATGTACATGTGTATGCGTACATAGATGCAGACAACATGTACATGGAATAATTTTTTAAAATTTAAGGACATTTTGCTTGTTAATTTTTATTTTTTAATGTACTATCATTGTACTGACCTAATATTTACTAAAGCAAAGAAAGCAAAAGTAAAAATCAGCATTTGAAGAAGGCCCCAGAACACCTGAAGCTTTTGGATGACTAATTCTCTCCCTATTTTTCTTGTGGATGTCATAAGAAACACTATTCGTTCAACCTACCCACTGCCAGCATCATCATATGCTTTCATAATGAAGAATTTAATACCTTGCTGAGAACAGCGTCCAGTGTTATAAACCTCACTCTACATCATTTCCTTGAAGAAATCATTTTGGTTGATGACATGAGTGATATTGGCGAGACAAATACTGACTGTCTCTTTGGAAGGTGGCATTCTTTTCTAGAGCTATTTTGGATATATTTTTATTTTGGGGAAATGGTCTCATGTTGAACTCCTGACACTCTTGCCTCTGCCTTCAAAGTGCTGGGTTCACAAGCATGCTTCACTGTGCATGGCTTGGCATATACATGTTTCACACAGAGGATATCTCTGGTAGCTGCTGAGGAAGATGCTACACCCGATGCACTCATTGTATATGGTGGGAAAGATTGGCCCAGCCCCTGTCATGATGGGTCCATGAGCTCAGCACACAGGGTTTGCCTTGACTTTAGCAATCACGTAGTAAAGAAGTGCCATCTAAGTAGAAAATGCAAAGATAGGCTGGGGTTGCCCAAATGGCCAGGAAGAAGATAAGTTTTAGGTGGAAGAAATGGCACCAAGATGAGACAAAACAGGGTGAGCATAGCATAGTTATGAATTTTATGAAGTTGTGATTTTATGAGTGCAGAGTTGCATGGATTCAGGGAAAGGCAGAAAGCTTTTTTATTTAAAGTTATGTAAAAGGGACTACTCAGGAAAGGCATTTTGGGAATTTTCTCCCAAGAATATAGGGAGCTATGACTATGTAGTTCAGTTGGTGGAGTGTTTGCCTAGCATGCATAAACCCTTGGATTCAATCCACAACCCTGCATGAACTGAGAGTGATGGTGCACAGCTCCAATGCCAGCACCAGGGAGCAGAAGCAGAGGATCAGGAGATCAAGATTATCCTTGACTATAAAGAAAGTTAAAGGCCAATCTGAGCTGTATGAGAACATTTTGAACAGCCACACTGTTCAAAAGTAAGTAAGTAATGAATGGGTAGACATGGAAAGCAAGTTAGGGTGTAACATAGGGAGATGATCTAATTTAGTTACTTCACAGGAAAAAACACGAATCAACTACAAATAATAATTCCTCTATGATTACTTTTTAAGATAGAATAAAAATACTAGAACAAAAGTCTAGTTACCTATGCTTAGACTTTGAAATTGGTTGTCTGTTCACAATTGAGTATCAACTTTAGGCAAGCCAAGAGTACCCAGATAATGATGTCAATGTTGGGTAGATTTCAGGCCTGCAAAGTCACCCAACCCACTAGGAAGCTAGTCTATGATGAACTTGAAAGGAAAAAGGTATGTTGAGAAGAAAAGACATTCCAGGAGGGTCATCCTGTGGGAGTGACATTATGTTACTACAGGTGTGACCCAAGCTAAGGTTACTGTGCTTGGAAGTTACATTGTTTGGCCAGGTGCCTATAACATAGCATTTCCATAGGAATCAGCAGCTGCTGAGTCTTGTACAGTGGGTGGGTGCTTCTTTCTTCCCTCATACTACCTTATCTGCTCAGTAGAGCTGAGATGTATGCAGCTTTCTGGGTACAGGGTGCAGGTGTAAGTGCTGGCCAGAGGAGTTCTGCTTTCTTACTGAGAAGCTCACAAATCCCACAGTGGGCACAACGTTCCAGGAATGGCCATGTCTGCCAGCCTTTCAGCACAGCACCCAGAGTCTAGAGACATGTTGGTCTCCTGTCAGGTTGACAAGGTGGTTTGAGCAACAAACACTGATCTGAGACCAGGGTGCCAGCAAGACCAGGCTGTCGATAACAGCATTCTTTCCGTTTTTTAGGCTGATGCCCTTTTGCTCTACCTTCTTTGGATCAAGTGAGCTCTTGGGCCTCTTCCTCTAAGCTCCATTCATGGGGACTCCATCCTGATGATCTAATACTTCCCAAGTGCCTAGTCCTAGGTGCTATCACATTGGTGGTTTTGAGCTATGCATTTGGAGCTAGTGGACATGCACACTCAGTCCATGATCTCTATTGACCTGTTTATATTTATACATCTTGCATTTTAGTCCCCTTTATAAAAGACCAAGAGAGTCACTACTGATGGCCAAGACCCCGTGTGCTGCAAACCAGTCATCCCTACCATTCCTTAACATTAGCTTTAGATTCTCATAGAGCTTCAAACACAGAGCACGGGGTGTTGTGTTCCAATAGAACTCAGGATCAATATATTCCTCACTTTAATTCACAATAGCTTTATCATGAATTGTGTAACAAATTTTGAACTGAAACCTGTCTTTCCTTAACATGCCCACAGATAGTGTCAATGGAGTTACTTAGCTTGAGGGAATGGATGCAGGTAGCTCTTATACTTGTTTGATTTGATAATTCACCTTCAAGCCACTACAAAATTAGAAACAAAATTAATCACAGTACAACTTGTGTACTTAGTAGTAAAACCAGGTTATATAAAAAACTTTATAACCTATGCTTTTTCTACTAAATTTTAATAATGATGTATTAAAGCAGAGATATGTCACTAGAAGCACAAAAAATTATGCAGTTTGATTATGAACCACTTGTGGATTTGAGGCTAACCAGGGCCACATTAAAATCTGTACAATCGTGTTTTTTTATAAATTGGTCATGATGACAATGTTTGAATTTCTATAGTTGCAGTTTAAATTTGCATCAAATATTTTTTCCAGATGATTTGAGAGAAAAATTGGACTATCAGTTGGAACTTTTTTGTGAAAGGATTAAATTAATAAGAAACAAAAAGAGAGAGGGTCTCATTAGATCAAGGATGATCAGTGCCTCCCGTGCTTCAGATATGAATATTCTTCTGGGCCATGAACTGGCGTGTTAGTCACCTTTGTTGTGCAGTCACTAAGTGTTCATGTGGCTCATAGTATGAGGGTGCATAGACTGTCTTTGCAAGGAAGATATGACAGACATCACTTGATCCCAGGTACCTAAAGCCATAAAAAGCAAAAGTTAGGATAATGGGAATGAGTATCTAGAAATAGCAAACTCCTGTATCTCCCTACGCTCCTGTTATAGGTGTGGACTGGCGTCCAGATGGCATCTTCTGAGATTTCCAGGTTCTTGTGTCTTGAAACAGAGAATTAGAGGTCAAATTTAGGCATCGTTTCTCAGGCTCCATCACTGTTGTTTTGTTTGAGGCATGTTTTCTCACTTCTCTGGAACTCATCAAGTAAGCTAGGCTGGCTAGTATAATTCAGGGATTTACCTATTTTCAACTCCCCAGTGCTAGGATTGTAAGAACAAGTCACCAAGGTCAGACAGTTCTGGTTTGATTTTTTCCTTAATGTGGGTAATAAGGATTGAAATTAGGGTCTCATGATTGTAAGGCAAGCACTTTAATGACTGCGCCATCTCTCAAGTCTCCCGAAATGATCTTTGACAATGAAAGTTCTTCTTAGTTTTCTACTCCACTAGAGTTTTCTTCAAGCCATTCTGTAACCTATAGCTGTCCAACCCCCTAACAACACTGACAGTACATGGGGTCTCACCTTTTTGGACACAATAAAACATGCATTTCTAATTTCCCTCAATGCAACTGAGGAACCAAGCACATGGTAAATAGTCAATGAACACTCATTGCAGCCAGCTTGCATTTGGACTGAGTATCTTTCCTCTAGGGAACTATGATCACTAGTTTTATGCCAACTTGAAACAATTGAGGGAGGCTCAATTGAGAAAATACCTCCTTAAGGGCTGTAAGCAAGCCTGTAGAACATTTTCTTAGTGGTTGATGTGGGAGAGCTCAGCCTGTTGTAAATGGCATGGCCTCTAGGTTGGTGGTCATGGGTTCTAAAAGAGAGCAGGCTGAACAAGCCATGAGAAACAAGCCAGTAAGCAGCACTCCTGTGTCTAGGTTCCTGTCCTGACTTCCTTCAATGATGGACTGTGATGTGGATGGACTGTGATGTGGAAGTGTAAACCAAATAAGCCCTGTCCTCTCCAAGTTGTTTTTAGTCATGGTATTTCATCTCAGCAACAGTACCCTAAGGAAGACAAGGACCAACTTTAGTCTGCTCTTGCATTTATAGGTGACATCCTGGTGTTCTTGGATAGCCACTGTGAGATGAATAGAGTCTGGCTGGAGCCCTGGTAGTGCACCCTTTGATTGATGGCATTGATGACGTAACACTGGATTACACAGCGGCACCTCTTGTCAGGGGAGCTTTTGACTGGAACCTGATTTTTAGATGGGACAATGTTTTCTCATATGAGCTGGAAGGCCCAGAGGGACCAAGTAAACTCACCGGTGAGATTCTTCTTGTTTGGAAGACCATAGTGAAAATCAATGTTTTGTTTTGTCAATTGTCCTCTTTCTCTTTCTTTCTTTCTTGCAGGGTCTCTATGTGTATCCCTGGCTGTCTTGGAACTCTCTAGCCCAGGCTGGCCTCAAATCTGGAGATCTTCTTGCCTCTGCCTCTTTAATGGTGGGATTGAAGGTATATGCCACTATGCCCAGCCTGCCACTTGTTTCTTTTCTTTTTCTTTGTTTTCCCTTGCATTTTGTTTTTCCAGATGGGGTTTCTCTGTGTATCCTTGGCTGTCCTGGAATTCACTCTGTAGACCAGGCTGGTCTTGAATTCACAGAGATTTCCCCCTGCCTCTGCCTCCCAAGTGCTGGAACTAAAGGCATGTACCACCATCGCTCCAGTAACCACTCGTTTCTTAAAGTATTAAGTTTTGAACGGTACTGTGTCTTGTACCACACCACACTCAGGAAGCTACCATGACTGGTGAATGCTGCCCTGATTTCCAATGCCCACTCTGTGTGTGTGTGTGTGTGTGTGTGTGTGTGTGTGTGTGTGTGTGTGTGTGTTTGCATGAATTATGCTCATAAGTCTTAGTGTGCATGTGGAGGTCAGTCTTGGGTGTTGTTCCTCGGAGTTGTCTACCTTGGTTTTTGAGACAGTCTCTTACTGACCTGGAACTCACCAAGTATGCTAGGATTGCTGGCGAATAAGCCCCAGATCTGCCTGTTTCCATACCTTCAACACTAAGATTTCAAGTGCACACCACCATGCCCACATTTTTTTAGATGGGTTCTGGGGATCAAACTCCTGTCATCATGACAAAGCAGGCACTTCACTGGCTGAACTACCTCCCTAGCCCTGAGCATCCTTCTTTCAGTTGCAGGAAAGAGTTGTCTGGTTACCAAGGAGCAAACTGCCATGGTCAGGAAGTATGGACAACTTTGCCAAATTCACACAGAAAATCTTTCCCCGGTGTTTCCAGGTGTACCTCATGGGTTGAGAGAACAAGATTCTCCTAGTTCATTTGTGTCAGAAACTGTCTTTGTAAATGTGAACATAAGGTGACCACATCTGGAGGGGCTAGATCTACTCTTCCTGGAAACACTGGTATGAGATGCACCTCTTCTCTCCTTGCTAACCACATTTGCTCCCCAGACTAGGTAGCTACATTTTCTAACCATGTAGTAGTGTGGCCTTACAGTCATGTTTATACTTCTTATGTGTAAGTTCTAGAGGACAATACTCTGCAGAGGAATGAATCAAATGCCTTTAAAGTTACCACTTCACGTGGACTCCATCTCCTGGTCTCTTCTGGTATTACCGGACATGGCAGCATTTCTAGGAACAGAAGCTGCTGTGCCCTGCTCTGCTTCTCTGATGCCATCCCTGCAGACCTTTGTTCTCTCCCTGCCCCCCCCCCCCGTTGTCTTTCCTCTAACTGATGCCCCAGAGGGATCATCCATCACACTTCAGTCAAACATCTTCGAGGCTTTGCACCAAACCATTCCCACTCTCCTTCCCAGGAGTCGACGTACTCAGCCAGAATTGAGAGGTTAGGAACCAGCGCTGTGTGCCTCACCCGTAGGCCACAGCCCACCACATTACAGCCCCATTGTCATTCACACTTTTCTCCCTGACCTTGACTGTGTCCCTTAGCTATACTGTCTGGCCACACCTGGACCTGCTACTCTTGGGAAGTAGTCTTAACTGGTAACTCAAGAATAAAATTAAAACAACTTAGGAAGTAGAAGGGATAGTTGTGAATTACCCAGTGGTTTATTATGGAATATTATGCAGTTCTGAAGTGTGACTCCATAGGAACAGCCATCTTCTGGCACTCCACTGGCCCACTACCCACCCCAGAGATTGCCTGGCCCCAGGAAGCCCCTTCTCAACAAAGACCTCGAATTATACCTGGCTGTCCCCATAGATCAGGTTTTCTCAGCCTGTGGTTGGGACCACAAAGGACAGATCAGCTACTGGCTCCCTTTCCCACGCATTCTTATGGTGCTGAGGATCGACAAGATCTCTGCTCTTGAATGTGCACAGAGAAGGGAGGAAGGCAGCAGGAAGCACATGGTACCACACAGTGCTACTGTAAGGGTGGGGACTAGACGCGCCCTGCCTGCTGCCTATCTGTACAATCATGGTCTTTTGGTGGACCAGTGTGCCGCAGAGGACTCCTGCCACCCAGTGCTCCAATGAGGACATGAAGCACCCAGCACAGCAGTCAGGGACAGTCCTATGAGAATACAGACATGCTGCTCTCTTTAAAAATAAACACAACTTTATTTTCTCGTTGGAAATAGGTTCTTTTCTCACAGTTTCCCCTCCCTCCACTTCTCCAAACCCTCCCCTCCCCCCAAGATTCACACTCTGTTTCTTCTTCAGAAAAGAGCAGGCCACCAAGAGATAACAGTCAAACAGGACAAAGCAAGGTACAGTAACACAAGACAAGAGCCCTAATTATCAAGGTTGGATAAGGCAACCCCATAGGGGAAAAAGAGTCCCAAGAGCAGACAAACGAGTCAGAGATATGCCCACTCCTATCGTTAGGAGTCCCACAAAACACGTGGCTATCAGCCATAACACATACGCCAAGGACCTGGTGTAGACCCATTCAGCCCAGTGCTCGCCACTTCAGGCTCTGGGAGCCCACGTGAGCCCTGCTTAGTTGCTTCAGTGGGTCATGGTCTCCTGGTGTCCTCCATCCCCTCTGACTCCTACAATCTTTCCTGCCCCTCCTCTTCGAGGTTCCCCAATCAGACACGTCCAATTTAGACTCTCTCTTTGCATCATGTCTGGCTGTGGATCTCTGCATCCGCACCCATCTGCTGCCTGAAAAAGTCTCTCTGATGATGACTGGATTAGGCCCTGATCTACGAGTACAGCAGAATACCTTAGGAATCATTTCTTTTTTCTTTCCCTTTTTGCCAGTTGTGTTTGGTTCTACTCCAGGACTCTGGACTATCCAGTTTCTGATGCCCGGCCTTCTGGGCAGTATGGGGCATGGGTTCCCTCTCATGGTTTCGGCTTCCAAGTTAAAGCAGATATTAGCTGGCTACTCCCACAAGGTCTGGGCCACCATTGCCCAAGCTCATCCTGCAGGCTGGTCAAGGGTTTTGTGGCTGGGTTGGTGCCCAGGTTTCTCTTTCCATAGCCTGCATGGTACCTTCTCACCCAAAGAGACTACAATATAGGGGTGAAGGCTCCATACAGGCACCAGCTTGACCTCTCTACATTCAAATAGCTGTGTGGAAGTTATCCTTGGCAATTTTCCTGCCCCAAACCCCCTCTGTAGATTTCAGAAAGCAACCCTCTGTCCTAGCATCAGCCTGCTAGGACAGAGGTCTTCATGGGACCCTCTCAGTCAACAACTCAACCAAATGCAATCCAGTCCCATCACTGGAAGCCTTCCACCAGCAATGGATGAGGGCTCCCCTTGCTCCACATCCTCGCCGGCATAAGCTGTCACTTGTGTTACTGATCTTAGCCATTCTGAGAGGTCTAAGATGGAATCTCAAAGTGGTTTTGGTTTGCATTTGACTCTACTTCCTATCAACTGCCCGGCCTTTCTCTTTTGTATTACAAGCAATAGAAAGAGTTGTACTACTTTGAACTTCAATGTTTTAAACTCATGTCAGTATGAATTTGTCACCTCTTGTGGCTAAAACTTGTGACCTGTGTCCCAATGTCCAGTTCACAGTTTTCCTGCTGGTGTGTCCCACCCACTGACCTTTCTTCCCTTTGTATACACCCATTCCCTGGCCCCTCCCATCTGCGTCTCCTCTCCATCCTCTCTGCTGAGCATCCCTCTGGTCTACAAGTTGCTTCACCTTGAAATTCTGCCTGCCTCCAGACTGTTTCCTAACCCATCTTTCACTGATGACTCCTGCAATCGTTAATGTTGATTTCCAACTTGATTGAGATCCTGGACTTGAAGTCATTGCCAGGCATGCTAGAATTGGAAGCCCTGTCATTAGAGTCCATGTGCCATCAGTGCCCATCTCTGTCTCCAGTGCAACATGCAAATCCTGGGTGTCATTCATATGCATGAAATTCTTCACTTTTCCAGATGCTCATAACACTTTAAACACCTTTCACAATTGTTTTTTAAATACTTTCATTTGTGAGGGCAGGAAGCTGACTCAGCAAGAAAAGACTTTCCAACAAACCTGACAGCACAGGTTTGATTCCTGAGACCCACATAGTGTAAGAAAAACTGACTCCTACAAGTTGTCCTCTGACTTTCACACACACCGGCCACGGCACACAAGTACCCACACACATACTGTTTTGCAATCTGTTACATTAAATATATACACACAAAATAATGTTAAAAATTATTTACTATGAACATCAGGATCTAGAATCACCATGCCTCTGGTATGCCTATAAAGGAGTTTCTTGATTGTAACCGAAGTAGATAACACCTCTGTGGTGACTGGAACCATCCCATGGGCTGGGGTCCTGAACTGAGTAAGAAACAAAGCTAGCTGAGCACCAGCATCTCCCTCTCCTTCCTGAGGGTGCCATGCTATCACAGCCTCATGCCCTTGTCACCCTGAGTTCTCCACCCTGACCCGTGGGCTGAAATCACCCTTTTTAAGTTGCTCGTGCTAGGTATTTTTTGAGAAAAACAACTGATCTGACTCCCAGATTCACCCACAGCCTGAAGACCTCCAGGCTCATGCATCCAATTGCACCTGCTGCCTGCTTGACCCCCGCTGTGATGCTGAATGCATACCTCCTGTGAAACCAGGACTTCTTATCTCTGTGGACAGCAACTCCATCTGCTGTGTGGAAACCCCTAGTATCGACCTAGATTCCTGTCATCTTCACATATTCTTGTCCTGTTCATCTGTTAGGTTCATCTTCAAGCTAAACCAGTAACCGGACATCTTGTTTTCTGTCATTGTCATTACTCCCTTGGTCAGGGTACAATCCCCACTCATCATTTCTTTCCATGATTACTGTGATGACTTCTAACTGGCAGCACTTAGGAGGGAGGTAGACAGATCTCCACGAGTTCCAGGTCAGCCTACGACACATAGTGAGGCCGTCTAAAAAACAAACAAACAGCAAAAACCAAAGAAACCAAGAGTGGCAAAAGGGAGCCAAGTACTCTATTCTATGCTCTCTGTGTGTCGATTGTGGCTATAACGTGACTAGTTCCTTCAGGTTCCCTCTGCCTTGACCTCCCCACCTCAATGGACTACATCCTTCAAGGGGAACCCTTATCCCCGTAGAGAGTGAGTGAAAGTCCTGACATGGGCACACACTGAAGACCTGCTTAGATGAGGGTGGGGGTGTTCAGGTCCCAAAGAGGATGTGTAGAGTCATCGAGGGGAGGGGGCAGAAGGAGGAGACAGACATGATCTGAGGGTGAATTGGGGTAGCCGCTGGCAGTGTACAATTGAAAAAAGACCACACCTGTTTTTACTTGTTTATACTGGAGCATGTGACCTAGGGTGTGGCTTGTTATCAGGGGTTGGGGAACCTAACATTGACCTTGACAGTAGGAAAAAGTCATATGTTAATGGAAGGGTCAAAAGTTGCTCTCCCTAGAGATAAGAAGAACAACTGCTTTATCAAGCAAGAACTTTCCTCAAACCCCCAGGGGAATTGAGACCTTAATCCAAATGCCTGACCTTGGGAAAGGACTTCTTCTGGGGAGCAGACACTATACTACAGTTTCTTAGTCTTCCGTATAGGCCTGTTCCCCTCATAACACTCCCAAAGGGAAGGTCCTGATGTCTTGCTCTTTTCCCACTATACTGTACCATTCTAATTCCTCTACCTTTATTAACTGAACTCTTGCCTTTAATGGCCTCAGGCTCTGGATCTGAATTGTAGGCATTTCTCCTTGGAGTCAGGTGTGTTTAGTAAATCTCTTAACTTTCCTCTTCTGGTTTCCTCTTCAGGACAGCACAATGGATTTCCTGGAATAGTAGGGGGGATTTTTTTCCAAGGAACCATTTTGTTTAAAGAGGCTATCACGGTGCACATTTTTATCTTTTATCAAAGCCTGCACAAGATTTCCCAAAGGAAAAGGCATTACTATTGAAAATCATTAAAAATGAAAGTAAAGCTAGGCAGCAGGTAAACATTTAATTCCAGTACTCAGAAGGCAGAGGCAGATGGATCTCTGTGAGTTCCAGGTCAACCAAGGCTGTTAACACAGAGAAACCCTGTCTTGAACGCTCCCCTCCCCGCAAAAAAAGAAAGAAAAGAACATAAAAGGTGCTGGAGAAGTGTGGTCTGCAATGTCGAAATGCAGGGACTCTGTCAAGCAGCATGGTCACCATGCTGTCCATGCCAGCCAGGCACAGCCATGTTAAAGACTCCAAAGCTTCAGCCATGGGAGTGGCAAAGCCTTTCCCCACCGTGATGCTTAGAGGAATGGCATAGTCTTCCTCAGGTCTAAGTGTGAATATTGTCAGTGTGTGCAAAAAATGTCCACCACAGGCCCTTGGCCCAAGTTTAAGGCCTGAAGACTGTTCCCCCACAGAAACTGTTCCAACTGAGTGAGGGTAACTAATCCTGCATCACTGTCCAGATGTATACAATAAACACAGAGCTTCCAGAGTGCAGTTCCTACTCATCAGAGCTACCAAAGACCACCCACTCCCAGCCTTTCTGTGTCAGTGTGTCTGTCTGTCCTTCTTCATTCTCTTGTTGACCCTAGTCAGGGTTCTAGGACTCAGGCCAGGCAAGAATGCACAACTTCCCTTATATTTCTTTTGTCACAGTATTTTATCACAACAAGTAACTAAAATGAGCAACCCTATCTCTTACCACATAGAAAAGTCAAAACAAATTTGATGTGAATGTACGACCCAAAATTATAATGCCACTAGTTGAGGACACACTTTATGACGTTCACCTTCTCAAAGATTTGATGACTAAGACTCTGAAAAGCACAGACCATAAGAGTAAAAATGGAGGATGAGATTACATCAAACTAAAAGCTCCTGTAGAGCAAAAAGACACAGTAAACAAAGCAAAGAGAGGGTTCACAGAATTCTAGACAATATTTGGAAATATATATCTGATAAGGGGTTAATGTCCAGAATACATAAGGCACTGAACAAACAACAAAAAGTTCAATTAAAAAATAGAAGGCATGAATGTACACTTTTCAAGAGGAAATACAAATGGCCAATGGTACATGAAAATGCCTCAGCACCCCTCCTCGTTTAGGATGCAAATCCAAGCCTATTTCACTCTATTAAGACAGCAAAGTCTTCTATGGCCAAGAATGCAAGATACTAGAAAATAGTATCAATGGTTCTTCAAAAATTAAAAGTAGAGCTCTTTCCCGCTGTCTTTCTGCTCTTTCTTTCCTGACTCTCTCTTCCTCACTCTCTTTCCTGCTGTTCCCCTGGGGCAGACAGGACTTCTCCTGTCTCCCCCTTCTCTTCCGTCCTCTCCCTGCCTCTGCCTCTGCCTCTGCCTCTGTCTCTGTCTCTGTCTCTGTCTCTGTCTGTCTCTGTCTCTGTCGCTGCCTCTGCCTCTGTCGCTGCCTCTGCCTCTGTCGCTGCCTCTGTCTCTGTGTCTCTTTACCTTTTCCTTCTCCTCCCTCCTCTTTCTAATAAAACTTCTCACTTACAAAAAATTGAAAGTAAAATAACCTCTATGTCCCAGCAATTCCACCACTGACAATATGCCTGAAGGAAAGGAAACGGGTGTGTTGAAGAAACCTGTCTACTCTCATCCTTACTCTAGCACTAACAAACCCATGAATCAATTGGTCTATTACAGCAAAGATTAAATCTCATCATTTGTAAACAACATGGGTGAATCTAGAGAACATTATGGTACCGGAAATGAAACAGTCACAGACAGATAGGTGCCACACCATTTCACATAAGTGGAATTCAGAAAGTGGATTTCCTAGGAGTTCAGAGTGGAATGGTGTTTACCAAAGCACAAAGGTCTCCTCCTTTGGGGAGGAGAAAATGTGAAACTTTCACTAAGAGTAAGTCAGCTTCCTTCTGTTCTGTTCTGTTCTGTTTCCTCCACACGGTTATGTTTACATAGAGGAGAGCCGGTATTCCATTTTGTTGTGGTAAATGGAACCCAGTTTGGTGCCTACTGGGCCAGAGCCTAACCCCTGAGCGAGAGTGCAACCTGACTTTTCATCTGGCTATACTGCTTCCTCCAGGAGCATGCAGGACTGCTCTGGTGACACATGCAAGGGCACACGGCAGATGATGGGGCTCCTGGGAAACACTTGATAGGACATGGTGCAGTAAACTAATAAGATATTTTAAAACTATGTGGGTTCTCTAATCGTCTTGATATTTATAGCCCCCTCCCTTTTCTGTTTTGGATTCTGTTTTCTCTCCTGACTCCCTTGCCTCTCTCCTCCTTCCTCCCTCCCTTCTTCCTCCCTGGTAGCTGGCCATTTTGGTCACTGTATGCATGAAGAGACCAAAGGTCACTGGGGTATCGTATCATCCCTCAGGTCTTGTTTGCCTTAGTTTTGAGAAAGTCTCTCACTAGCCTAGAACTTGCTGGTTAGGCTGGCCAGCCAGCAAGCCCTAGGAATCCTCCCATCTCTGCCTCCTTGGTATTGGGATTACACGTGTGCACCACCCACATCCAGGTTCTTCTTTTTTAAAGTGGGTTCTGGGGATCGAACCTTTGTCCTCATACTTATGTGGCAAGCACTTTATTGACTGAGCCCTCTCCCCAGTCCTATTTTATTCTTTATTCATTTTTGTTCTTTTCAACACAGATTTCATAGGTTTATTGTGCATACACAGGTATCACAGAAATGTCTTCTCCTTCAAGTTCCCGAGGGAATCACCTTCCACATTTGTAACTTTCATTATCCCCACCCCATCCATGCATTCCCTAGGCAGTATTTTATAATACCCAGGCCTCTGGCTCTTTTTATTATATTTGGTTGGAGATACCTTGTTTTATTACATTGCTCTCTAAGAATACTGCCCAATAAATTTACCTCTCTTAGGACTTACCTATAAGCCCATTCTATATCTGAGTAGAACTACTTTTGTGAAGGTATGTGTTTTTGCAAAGCAAGCGTAGGGGCCATTGAGATGGTTCTTTGGGTAAAAGTGCCTGCTGCCAGCTGACAAGCCTGAGGATCTGAGCTCAATACCAGGGAACCCCACAGTGAAAAGAAAGAACCAACTTCCAAAACCTGTCCTCTGACCTCTTCATGTGAGCTGGGCCGTCCATCATATGTGTTCATTTGGACATGCACATGAACAGGCGTGCACAGTCTCTCTCTCAATAAAATTTAAAATGTAATGAAAGGAAAATGTGTCCCATTTCTGGTCCTACAGTCCTCACAGACAGCAAGTGACAGTTAACTTCCTGTTCAGATGAATCAATTATTCCTGGCCCAATATTTCCAATGATTCTATTCCCAATGGCTTCTTTGAGTCTCTGAAGTATATCTGGCTCTGTTTTGTATAAGCAAACACGTGAATTAGTAACTAGTTCAAGGACTCTCTTGACACTGGCCATTGAAAACAAAACAAAAATTTAAAACTGGGCATGTACCACCCTGCCTTTAATCTCAGGACTCAAGAGGCAGAGTCTGGTGGATCTCTGTGAGTTTAAGGTTCACCTATTCTACAGAGCGGAGTTCCAGGATTGCTAGGACTACACAGAGAAACCCTATCTTGAAAAACTTAAACAAAAACCAAAAGACTAAAAGATCATGCCTTCAAATGGCTGCTGTGACTGACACATATCTCATGACACAAAGAAGTCTGCAGTCTGCTGGAGACTACCTCTTAAGGATCTATCTAAGTTCAATCTTCCCAGTCAAGCTATGTTGCAGGTCAAGCATTCAGAAGATAGTGCCCCCGCCCCCTTTTTCATTCATGAAGCAATGTTCACTGAGCAGCTGAGGA